AAAAAAAAAACACTTATCCTGGTCGCGACTGCCCAAGAGTTCATCTACCTGTTATGGAGGTGCTTTCTTAATTCTCTTTTGAAGTCTTAATGTGGGTCCTCTCCATTTGGATTGAATTAAATTCTAAGGGCCCACTGCCACTAGGACTTCTTTTACGTGTATATAGACGTAATTCCTGTCATATACATCCAGGTTCGGTCGTAAAAGCGGTCAGATGCATTTAAGGTACTTTTTTTCCCTTGTGGACGTAATTCCTGTCATATACATCCAGGTCCGGCCGTAAAAGCAGTCAGATGCATTTAAGATAGCGATAGTGTGAGTCTCTCCCTAATCCTATCCTCTTGCCATTTGCTCGCTGTGTATCTTATCCCACCTTAAGCTTTTATTTCCCTTTTTTTTTCCATCCGAAATATACGTCCTTTTTGTCTAAAGGATCTGTCGTTTTTTTTTTTGTATTTTTTTTTTTTGTTGGGGAGAACCAGTGTTTGTTAGTTGGTAAGAAAACACGTTTTTCTTTGTGACCACCAATTGACCACCAGTTGGTTTGGTCTCACTCCGTCATTCCGCTCCTGTTTATGATTTTATAAAACGCGTATGGTTCTCATTCGACATCGTGGTTTTCTATTTCTGCCGTCTTCCCCCGAACACAACGCACCCTCATTTTGGCTGCACAGGACCGGAGAGATGGTTTGTATACATTCGTTTTTAGGGTGCGTTGTGTTCGGTCGACGACCGTAGTCGTCTCTCCGTTGCTGCGTGCGGACTTTTCCTGCTGGTGCTTCTGTAGTCGTTGGGCGCGAGGCAAGGCACACTCACATTAGCTCTTTTCTAAATGTATCTCACCGCATTTACGGTCGGACCTGGATGTATCTGGCCGCATTGAACGCCGTAATTAAGTTTAAAAAGTCGTAAATTTAGTATGCCCTCATTCACACACACTTGGCTGGCGCAGTTTGCTGTCGCGTTTGTATCCAGTATCGATACAACATGGAAATTATTCTCTCCCTGCCCCCCTCTTTCCCCCTCCACCTCTCTCATGCCATGCCGTTCGTTGTCATTTTCGCTTATCGGAGAGAGATAATGTATGCTATTCGTTCGCCCCGTCCTCCCTCCCCCGTCCCCTCTTTTCTCGCTCTCTCCTGCTCGGTCGTCGTTGTTTTGTTCTCTGTTTTTAATTCCTCTCTTCTATTTGTTGAAAAGTGGCGACGGCTTTGAGTTGTCGTCTTTAACTGACCGCGTCAGGTAGATTGAGAGCTATATTTTTCTCACCTAATTCCATCTGGACTCGAACTCAAGGTCTGTATTTCAACAGTTCATGGTTTTTTTCAACTGAGCTAAGTCTGTTGCTGTCGTCGTTGTTTTCGTTTAACCGAGGAAACGAGTTATGTTACGATCTCTCCCTCTCCTTCCCTCTCTCTCCCACTTCTTCCCTCTCTCTCCCTCTCCTTCCCTCTCTCCCTCCTTCCCTCTCTCCCTCTCCTTCCCTCTCTCCCTCTCCTTCCCTCTCTCTCTCTCCTTCCCTGTCTCTCCACCTTCTTTTTTCCGTCTTCCCTCTCTCTCCCTCTCTCTCCCTCTCTCCCTCTCTCTCCCTCTCTCTCCCTCTCTCTCCGTCTCTCTCGCTCTCCTTCCCTCCTTCCCTCTCTCCTTCTCTCCCTCTCTCCCTCTTCTTCCCTCTCTCTCCCTCCTTCCCTCTCTCCATCCCTCTCTCCCTCTCCTTCCCTCTCTCGCCCTCTCTCTCCCTGCTTCCCTCTCCCCCTCCTGCTCTCTCGCTCGTTTGCTTGATTGCTCTTGGTTGTGGACTCTTAAGCAGTCATCTACAGGCTGCGTAATTGTCTCCCTCTCCATCACATCGCAGCCCGCGATAAAATGTCCTTTTTCAGCTGCCAAGGCGACCCTCATCAAGTGTACAGCTTCAGCTGCAGAGTCGTGCGTGATCGACTGTTTCTGAACTATGCCTTTTCAATGTTTTCATGCTTGTAGGGGAT